GGCAGCCAGGACCGGGGAGGCCCAGAGTCTGCGGCCTGGGTCCATCCACCCAGGCTGTCCTCTTGTTCTCTTGTTGTGTGATGTCAACGGCAGCTCCTGTGAGACACAGCTATCCCTTATAAGATGGGCTCCCACTTAGCCTTATCCCAAAGGGGAAGTGAGTTGCATTTGTCATGTCCCCTAACTCCTAAAGGATCCTGGGACAACATTCCTTCTTCTTTCCTTTCTTCTTACTCCTCCTCTTCCTTTTTCCTTCTTCCTTCTTTCTTCTTTTCTCCCGCTGTCACTCAGGCTGGAATGCAGTGGTACCATCATGGCTCACTGCAGCCTCAACCTCCTGGGCTCAGGTGATCCTCTCACCTCTGCCTCCTGAGTAGCTGGGCCTACAAGTACTTGCCACCATGCCTGGCTAATTTTTGTAGTTTTTGTAGAGAAGGGGTTTTGCCACGTTGCGCAGGCTGGTCTTGAACTCCTGGGCTCAAACGATGTCTTCGGCCTCCCACAGTGCTGGAATTGCAGGTGTGAGCCCACCATGCCCGGGCGCATTCCTTCTTCTTTCTCTGGGTCAGCACAGCCCCTCTCGATTTAGATGCTGCCAGGGTTCCCTGCAGGAAATGAGGGAGCGTGCTGGCTTAGTTTTGATGTATAAGTATCTACATGACACAGCAGTGTTACGGGCAGCCTTTATGGTTTGAGGACCCGGTGTTCATGACTCCTGTCCCCACCCCCACCTGTGTTCCCCTTGTCCTGGTCCCAGTCCTGGCTCCGGGAGCTTTCCCTCTGGTGAAGACGACTGCTGACCTCCTGGTGGTTCCTTCTGTGTGGGGTCACTGGGGTCACTGCCATCCTCTGCAAGGCTTGGTAAGTGTGGTAGAACCAGCGATTCAGAGGACCCCGGTTCTGGACACGCTGCCCGCATCAGCAGCAGCAGAGGCTCTCCTGCACCCCAGGGACGTGGTCACACCCACTTCCTTTCTGCCCCCTGGTCTGGTGTCACAGGCAGCTCAGCCTCCAGCTGCAATTCATGGAGCATCCCGCATGTCCCCTGGCACCTCACTCCCTGAGGGGACATGGAAGCCGCAGGGCATCAGGGGACAGGAGACAGAGGTTTTGAGAGGGGCCGCTCACCTCCGTGGCAGTCTCTGGAGCGATGTCTCGATGACTTCTGGCTGCGGGACAAGCAGCCCCCTGTGTTGGCTCCAGGTGCGAGTGAGATTCCCACCACATCCTGCAGGAGCCGGCTTGAGAGACCCCCAGAACTCACTGTGGACCCGGCCAAAGGAGGGTTCTTCCTCTGCCCTCACTGTCCCCAAAATGACCCCACAGAACCGTCTGCAGGGTCTCTGCTACTGTACGGCTGTCAGGACAGATACGTGCCCTCGACGCCTGAGACCCACGTGCCTGTGGTTCGGCCACACAGCTGCTGAATCAGGCTGTTCTGTTAGATTCTACCTTGGGAGGGTGGAGCTTCTGTGGGAACCTGCACACCTTTAGGATGAATGGGCACCACGGTTTGGATTTGGGATCAGAGAGTTCTCTGTTGTGGGCTTTCCTGGGTGTGGAGGCCGTTCCACAGCTGCTGGCCTCTGCCCAGAGGCGGCCGCACTTCCCTCCAGCAGTGAGTGCTAGGCAGTCTTCAGCACTGCCAAGTCCTGTGGGCAAAGCGTCCCTGCCCACTGAGAAACTTTGTTAGCATGAGGTTCATCGTGTTCCTTTATTATCTCTAACGACATCGTCCCTCTCATTCCAGATGTTGCTAATTTGGGTCTTCTCGCAGTTCTTCCTTTTCAGCCTGAGGTTTATCCATTTTGTTGATTTTATCAATGAACCAGGTTTTGGTCTCATTGATTTTCTTTTTTAAAAATTTTTAATTATTGTGGGTACCTATTAGGTGTATTTATTTATGGGGTACTTGGGATATTTTGATACAGGCATGCACT